ATAGCAGCAGTTAATTTTATTTAAAGAAATGGCGTGTCGTCCATTTCCGTTGTAGCATGGCATATATTTAGGCGCAATATTTAACTTCTTCTGCCGGGGCGACATCTGGAGTCTTCTAATTCTTACAGCGAGGTTCATATCTAGACTAGGTTGATATCAGAATTTGCCACAAGTAGCTTTGCTACACTATCGCCGACAGCTTTAACAATTTTATAGTGGTTTTACGTTCTTTGGCAAATTACGCTCTGTTAGCCATAAATGTTACTATTTTTTGACCGCCTTTGAATCAAGACCCCTGGACCATATGGGGAAATCATTTATATTTTAAATTGCATTGTCATCGTGATTGGAACTATGCTGAAAATTTCAAGTCTCTAACTTGTCGGGAAGTCAGTTTAAAATCGATTGGAAATTTCCGCGATTTGCGCGGGATGACCAAGTTAAATAAAAGCTTATAAAAACTAAAAAACACGCTTTTAAAGCATATCAAACTAAAAAGTAAAAAATAATTCTTAATATAAGTTGAAAATAATAATGAACAAAAAATACTAGTATTATTGTGAAAAAGTGTGAGTTGCTCGATAGACGAAAAGTATGGCAAAGAGCGCCCCACGCTTTTTCACAATAATATTGGTATTTTTTGTTCATTATTATTTTCAGCTTATATTAAGAATTATTTTTTATTTTTCAGTTTGATATGCTTCAAAAGCGTGTTTTTTAGTTTTTTTAAACTATATTTATTTATTCCTATCTTTATATTTTTCACTTTTACTTTGCCAAATCGCAACTTGTCCCTTCAAAATTTCAAAAAGAAAAATCTTCTAAAAATCGCTTATTTGCATGTCCAGCAATTTGCTCCTTCAATGGTTCAAAATACCCTGATATGACGAAATGGGTTAAAAGTAAACTGATATGACGACATGGGTTAATGTTCGCGAACTGCGCCACTAACGATCAAACAAATCCGAAGAGTTTGAAAATTTTAAAATCCGTCTGATTTGTTCGCGCACCTCGGCACTAATGTGAAAAACTACATCGAACACCAACAAATCAGATGGATTTGGTCGCTGTTAGTGCCTAGCTTTAGAGAGTTAGGGCAACGCGAAGTAGAAGTAGCAATAGATAGAGTTTGCTCAGCGGGGCGGCAGCGGGTAGAAGAGACGTTTTTGCATTAGCTAATGCTGATGGAGAGGAGGCAGTAGAAGCATATGATACGGCAGCGATTTATCTACGGCGTCAGCAGCATCAGGCAAATAAATAGACACGATGTAGAGAACAAAGGTGGCGCCCATTTCGGTAGCGCTATTCCGCCGTCAGTGAATTTGGCAGAATCGCTGTTTGTATGACGTCACATTTGTGCAACTTGTTTACGTTTTACTTGAACATTTTTTTCTTCTTCCGTCCTTGATCGCGTTTTGGTCACACAAAACTTATTCTCAAAAATCCTCTCTGATGGGCGCAATCTTGTATTCTATCATTATTGGTCTTTAGACAACATACCAGCGGCAGGCGCGGGATTGTTTTCGCATAACGTTTTCTGAACAGACTGGAGCTGTTCTTGTAACCCCTCCACTTTTTTTATAAGCAGCGACTTGTCTTTATGAAGAGTATTGATTAACGAGAAAGCTTTTTGACGATCAGCTCTTAAAGTAGCGATTTCGCTAAGCACAGTTTGTATTATATCAGAGATATTACCTTTCTGCTGCTAAGGCCAGTTCCGATAGTTTCTTATTGTTGGGTAATGAGCATGGGAGAAGTGCATTGAACTTCTGAGCGTTAAGAGTTCATATCAAATGCATTACGACTTTCGATATGTTTTAGCAGCAGCGAGAGTCGGCGGGGGCGAGCGAATCGAAGAACGACGCATATCAAGGGCGTAGCTAGAGTTACCAACCGTACTATAATATATAGTATTGTCCTATTTTTTGGGTCTGCGTATAGTCGTAGTATAGTACTGTTGGAAAAAAATATAGTATGCAAAAATACTATATTTCTTCAATTATAAATATAAATATATTCCAGTCATTTGTTTAGAAGCAATGTTGCAACATTTTTAAAAATACTTACAGCCGGTTTCACCAGCAAATTAAATGGAAAATGATTTTTTATTTTCTTTCAATTTCCATATAAAATTCAAAAATTAAAATCATTTTTCACTTAAATTGCTTTCGTGAAATTGGCTGTTAGAAAGATTTATCAAATTTACTTAAAATTATTTCGCTTATGCTCTCTATTCCTGCAATTTCGGCATTCACAGAAAGAGTTTTTCTATTAAGATTTCGAAATGGTGAGATGAGAGAAGTAAATCGAATACTTCAGTAATAATAAATGAACTATTGATTTATATTAATTTAAATTATTTGTTTTTGTTGTTGAATATAATTAATTTAAATATTGATAGCGATACAGCATATGATTCTTTCAAAGAAATATATATTTTTATAGAGGAAATGCATAAGAAATAAAAATGATGTACCTACACTTAAAAAGCAATTTTACTTTTCCTTAAAAACAATACTATATATATTTAAAGCGTACTATATTTTTTCAGTGTTTTTGAAAAAGGTCCACCAATTTCTTAGAAAATGTTGGCAACCCTAGGCGTAGCCCCCCTCTACAGCTACAAAACGAAGGAGAAATTTTCAAAAATCAATAAATAAAAAATACAAAATTTTATCCGTAATCGAATTCGTAATTATGCTTTAAATTTCCACATAAGGCCTGCGTTTTTCATCGTTGACACAATGAAGTAAGCACAGCGTTAAAGATTGCATTGGTTCAGAATTAAATGAAACACTTATTTGAGTTTCTGTGATGAACAGGATGGAAAAATCCAACGAGAACAAGTAAGAAAGTCTAAGTTCGGGCGGAGCCGAACATTAAATACCCGGCGCAAGTATTAAAAATATGTTTTTTCACCTTTCCGAAAGCTACCGCTAGATGGTAAACCGGGGTGTACCAATTTTGAGTTGCGTCCTTAAATTTCGAAATATTGCAGTTTCAAGCATTTCTGAAATTTACCGTTATATGAAAAGCGGCCGTAATTTTAGCCTGAATTCAATAAGTTTTAATAATTGGCTTTTATGTGGCAAGCACAATAACCGCACCGAGTTTGGTACAAATTGGTGTAACGGTTACCGAAATACGTACATGTTATCATAAGTCAGCGGTGCCACGCCCATTTTCCAAAATTTTACCATAAACATATTTCTTGGTAAAGAATTGTTGCAAGCATCAATTTTGAATAAATTAGCGTTAATAGTTACTGATTTATCGAAGATTTTGTATTTCTCTAAATTACCGTTATATGGGATGTGGGCGTGGTTATTGTCCGATTTTTTAAATTTTCTGCCATTTAGTATGCTGTACCAAGGCCAACAACTGTGCCAAGTTTGGAAGAAATTGGTGCAGCGGTTATCAAGATATGCACATGTAACCATAAGTGGGCGTGGCTACGCCCATTTTCCAAAAATTTATAATATTCTTATTTTTCGTCTGAAAATTATTACAAATGTCAATTTTGAGTGAATAATCTTCAGTAGTTACTAAAATATCGCAGTTTTCGTATTTCTGGAAATTACCGTTATATGGGAAGTAGGCGTGGTTATTGTCCGATTTTTAAAATTTTCGGCCATTTAGTATGCTGTATCGAGGCCAACTACTGTGCCAAGTTTGGAAGAATTGGTGCAGCGGTTACCAAGATATACACATGTAACCATAAGTGGGCGTGGCTACGCCCATTTCCCAAAAATTTATAATATTCTTATTTTTCGTCTGAAAATTATTACAA